TATTCTGATGCATGCCAGTGCTGTGTGTGAGGTAATTTAAGGTGGTTCTGACAAGTGTCGTCGGCATCTTCATATCCGGTCACATGGGTGGCAAGGCACTCCCATCCGGTCACATGGGCGGCAAGCCACTCCCAGAAAGGAGGCCACACCCAGAGTAGGTTCAAACAATTTTTGAAGCCCACCACTGCTAATGGCCCTCTAATTTGGTCCCAAGTCACAAAACACAATCAAATGACGGTGGATTTTACAACTGCTCATAAATATAAGCTAGTTGTTAAATGCCGAAAATGCAACTACTGGATTGCGGAGATGGCGTGGCAGTCGTTAATTTTTGAGGATGAATGTACATAACCCTTTTTTCAAGTCTATCATAACTTCGAACAGTCATTTTGCAACCGGTTGTAAGTCAAGGACTATCTGTATAGATACATCATAGCATATGAAGATCTTCTCCAAGATCTTCATGGCTGCTTTACAAGTGCTAGTTTATGACATATTGATTGCTTGTTCCGTTAAAAGTTCATTATTGATCCTAAAGAGCAAACGTCATCCACCCCTTTGATAACTTTATTGTCAATTCTAAAGCTGGCGGTTCTGCCTGTTGCAATGAGTTTGGTCTATATGTTTATAATTTTAGTCCCATTTTTTTTCCATGGTGTGCCTTGACTTTCAAGAGTTTGCAAATCTTTTGCATTTTCAAATTTAATTTCAAAAGACATTGGGATATAATGTAAGGTTTTGGATTGGGAGCAGGAGGCCCAGGTTTTATTCTCCCTTGGGCACAGAAGTCAAATTGTGAGACCTTGGCCTTAAACTATGATTTTAAAAAACCACCTATCTACCTATCTGCCCTGGATAAGTGTGCTGATTATGGTTTATAACTTTCAAGAAGAGGCCTTCTATCTTGCAGTGGATTGATGTGGGCTGATAATAAAATATATATATGTATATGCACATTACTTTTATTGCCGGGAAGATGCCAGTCATGGTACAGATAACATCTCCTCGTTAAAAGAAGAAATATCTAGGGAACATTAATTTGAGATCATAAAAATCTCATTGTACCACCATTCCGTTCATAAATTAAACTTAGGGCAGAGTTCTCTGTATGTTTGCTAAAAGAAAAATACAATTTCCTTAACAATTTATACTAATTACCGCAGTAACTGGAATTGACATAGGTTTGCCTTTTTTAATTCGAAACTAAAATGCGAAAATAATGCTTTTGCATATTGCTAACAGGGTTTTTATTAAAGTGGCATATAAAATATTGTACTCTTAATATCAAAAGCACAATTGGAAATGGGCGTTGGTGCATACCTGATACGCCCGTTCTCAGGGCGGTGGAGACACCATCCAGGCATGGGTATGACTCCGTCAGGATCCAATGCAACTGGGTCTACAAGTATTAAAGCCACACCCACGAAGCTCCTCCCCAGAAATAGACGGAGTGACTTGTAGACCGCCGTGTAAGCAATCTGAAATGATAGATATTATATCTTCCCAAGATATAGAAAGGAAAGGCAGAAAGGCAAAGGAACAGGGTGGGGCTGGATGATGTCTCCACCGCCCTGAGAACGGGCGTATCAGGTATGTACCAATGCCTAATCTCCAGTAGGTGGAGACATCATCCAGGCATGGGACATACCAAAGCCCACAGGGAAAGAAGAAGAAAGAAAATGTAAGTGGCAACGACACGCTGCGGTTCCAGAGGAGGACCAAAGAGGACGCCGCGTGAGAAGGGTGCTGACGCCAAACGCCATTTAGCTCTGGCCTCTGCCTGCCACTGCTTCAGCCAAAGGAGACGCCTCGTGCTGATGTTGGAAGCGATGGACCTTGAAGAAAAACGTGCAGCATCCAAAGACGCATCTGCTGCGTACTCCATTGCCGCCTTAAGCTTGTTGATATCCTGGTGAGCGCGGGAGTCACCAGGGGGAATCCTGTCCTGCATCCGCTTAAGACGGCGAAGTACAGCCCTGTTGAAAAAAGAAGCAGAAGAGGAGGCCTTGACCGCCCAAGCGACAGACTGATGACCCTTCACCAGTGACTGCTCAAAACGCTTGTCCTCGGGGCGCAAAGCGTCCTCTGGTGCGGTGATGGCCGCGTTAGGTGATGACAAGGAGACCACTGGTAGATCAATGGAAGGAACCTCCAAAAGTTTAGAAAGTTCAGGACTGACATTATACAGCTGTTTATCTAGGGTGGAAGGAAGGGGCCGAGACCCCGGAGAAGCCCACTGATTTTGAATCACCTCCAGGAATAGTTTCGGAGAGGGAACGATGTCCTTCTCAATGAGAGGGCGAGAGAAGGGGGGATCAGAGGTGTCTGAGTTATCTGCCTCCGAGGAGGTGGATGGTTTAGAGGCCGGGATACCAGAGACCTTCTTGGCTTTGAATAAGAGGGAACGAAACAAGGCAGGCTTAAACAGACCCAATAAGGCAGAAGGAGCAGGAGTCAAGTCCTCATCCTCTGACAGGTCAGAGTCACGGGAGACCTGTTCCTCAGTATCCCCAGCGGGCAGCTGAGAGACACTTGCAGAAGGTTCCCCTTGGGCCTGGGTGGAACGACCCTTCTTAGGTCCGCTGGAAGAGGAGCAATGAGGAGTAGCTGCAGCAGGCGGTCGATGCTGAAGGCCTGCAGCGATGCCCCGCTCAATTGCAGCTGCAATGATGTCAGCCATATCGTCAGGATTAATGGTGACAGTCCTGGCGGCAGGGGAACCCACATCAATATCGGGGGTGATGCTGCCATCCCTTTCAGAATCTGATTCCCCCTGAAATCCAATCCCGTCCTCAGGGTTCAAGGGAGAAGCTGGGGGGGGGGGGGGNGGTCACCACAACATGAGGAACTGTATTAAAGGGTCACGGCATTGGAAAGGTTCACTGCTTTAATTGATCGAACTCTTCTTTCAATAAGTCTAGTCCTTTGCCTTTTTCTCCTGTTCTTCTGTTTTGACTGGAATTGGGTGTTGGTACATACCTGATACACCCGTTCTCAGGGCGGTGGAGCCATCATCCAGGCATGGGTATGACTCCGTCAGGATCCAATACGACTGGGTCTACAAGTATTAAAGCCATGCCTACGAAGCTCCTCCCCAGAAATAGACGGAGTGACTTGTAGACCGCTGTGTAAGCAATCTGAAATGATAGAGATTATCTCTCCCCAAAGAATATAAGAAAGATTAATAAATTAAAGGAACAGGGTGGGGCTGGATGATGTCTCCACCACCCTAAGAACGGGCGTATCAGGTATGTACCAACATCCATTCTCCAGTAGGTGGAGACATCATCCAGGCATGGGACATACCAAAGCCCACAGTCCCATTGGGAGGGAAAGAAGAAATAAAACTTAAGTGACAATGACATGCTGTAGCACACGGCGTCCGAAGGAAGCATCAGCTGAGGTGTATCTATCTAGCTTGTAGTATCGAATGGAGAAATTGAAGTCTATGTAGCCGCTTGGCAAATTTCCTCCAATGAAGCTTGAGTTTCCCAGGCCGCAGAGGTGGCTGCGCTGCGTGTAGAGTGCGTCGTGATATGCGGAGGCACAGGCAGCGAGAGAGAGAGAGAGTGGAATACGCCCTAGAGATAGCTGTGCGCACCCAGCAGCCAATGTCCAAAGAGGCTTTGGAACCACTCTTATCTCCGGGTTGGAACTTGACGAAAACAGCCTCAGAACGGCTGAAAGAATATATACTGTTCCTCGGTATCCCCAGCAGGCGACTGAGA